TTTTTTTTTTTTGGAAAGACGAAGAAAGAAATTCGATTTTCTCGTTTATTTCCTACGGCGACGATCAATCGAATTAGTGTCAATAAATCTGTAAAAATATGATATGCTTACAATAGTTTTACCTTTTCATATTTATAACTAGTGTGTATCCCGTGCGATGCACGGGTAAATAATATTAAATAATAACTATAAATTAAAGATGGTAGTAAATAATATTAACTAATAATTATAAATTAAATATGAGGGTAAACAATTATAACTAATAATTGTAATTAAGATGTGGAGTTAATATGTGATATAATTTATCGTATATCAGTTGTAAACAATATAAAATTATCTTGTAAAATAACATCAAAAAATGTATGTTTAAAATATCAAACACCTAAAATATTATATAACGTAATTTCAGTTGTAAACAATATAAAATTATCTTGTATAAAATAACATAAAAAAATATATGTTTAAAATATTAAAAACACCTAAAATAGTATATAACGTATTTAAAGTATCTAATATTTTATATATCATTATTGAAAGATGTGAAGTCACCTAAATTTTTTCTAAACTATTTTATAAATAAAACATGTCTAAAATTATTTAAAAAAGATGCCTAAAATATATTATTCAATTTCCAGAAGATGATGATAAATATAAGTTTGAATTTTAGAGTCCACGTGAGTATTATTTTTAAGATCCATGTACTATTCAAATTATTAATTATGTTAATTTCATGTGAACTTCATATTAATTTATTAATTTTATTTTATTTCCATACAAAGTTGGTCGTCTCATTTTATTTTACCATATTTTCGTGGAGATTGAATAAAGTCGATTGCATTTATAAAAATGATTTGCATATCAAGATACAATTTATAATGGACTTTTCAAAATTATGTACTATTAACAAATAATAGATTCTCATTAAATATTTATTTAAATGCACAATTATTGAGACTGAGAATTTAAAAATTATTTTACTTTTTGAAACTGAGTATAGAAAAAACAATAGATTGAGAAACAAAAAATTGACAAACATTATCAAGTTTATTATCACATGTTCCAAATAAAAAAAATGTGATGATTAGTGAAAAATGATATTTAAAGAATAGCATTGAATATTTTTTTGAAAGGCACAAATATAAATACGATAGACTAAATTTTTTATTACCTTTTGAATTGAGATTTTATAAATATAAAGACTGAGATTTTAATGTTTTTCGTTGTTTCTATGAAAAAGAAATGAAAAATGCACACTTAATAGATCTTAGCTGAGATTTTTAAATAATAAAATGAATTAAAGTTCAAAGTTTAATGCAACATTTAATTTTGTATGATTATGAAAGATAAAAATAAAAAAATAATAAAACTTTCTATTTATAGGTTGCATTAAATTCTCTCCTATTTTTTTGCTACTATTTTTGTTAATTGTTAATTCTTATTATATAGATATAGATGTCATATTTATAATTTAATACTAGTCTATACTAATATTTTTAATTATTAACTAATATTTAATGAGTTAAATACCTAACCAACCAGAAACACATTCTAGAGCATAAAATACGCGGACCACCTTTTGGAGGACAATTGAGCTTCCTGTACACTTATTGAAATTAAAATATTGCCCATTTGGTTCATGTACACTTATTGTTTTCATTCTATTGCCTATAATGAAATATTTTCGCTGAAACAATAAGTCTATTTTCTACGTGACAATAGAGCTTCATGTACGGCTTCTATTAAAACTTTACTGTTTCTAATTTAATAGATTGGAAGAAAAAAAAAATATTATAGATTGGATGACAAAAAATATATTTTGCATATAAATTTATTTACATAATAGCAAATATTAAAAATATATAAATATTTTATTTCTTATTCATATGTATATTGAATTTTTAGAATTAAAATATTTGAACACGACAATAAGTTGATTAGAAAAAATTAATAATTTTAACTAATATAAAATTTTATTTATTATACTATGACTCTATAAATTATGTATTACATAGTTTATTGAAAATGTGTCTTTTATTAAAGTAAAGTTTAACAACTACTTTTAGTAATATTTTTCAAATAGAAAAAGTCAATTTTGAAAAAGTAACAAAAACTTATAAGCGGAAATATAATGATAAAAACTATTCTATATAATTAAACAATGGATAACATGTAACAATCTACTTGTGAAGACTTATTGCCAAATACATGATGTCGATTGCTATTAAAATATAAAAAACATATTGCTATTTTATTTTTATTATTTTTATTCATATTTAAATTTAATTTCTAGAATTAAAATATTTGAACATGATAATCAATTGATTACAAGAAATAATATGGTTAACTAATATAAAATTTTATTTATTATACTGTGAATCTATAAATAATGAACTACATAATTTAGTTAAAAGGTGTCTTTCATTAAAGTGAAATTTAACAACTATATTCAATATATATATTTTTATCGAAAAAATCAATTTTGAAAAGCAAAAAAAAAAAAAAA